TTGTCCTATGACTTGACGTTCCACCACAGGCTTTGTTGTCAAACTTGGAGATAGTCCTATTGCTTGGCATACAAAGAAGCAACCTACTATCTCTCGCTCTTCTGCTAAGCTGAATATCGCACAATGGCAACCACCTCTTATAAGATTACATGGCTACGATCTTTTCTTCGTGATCTCACCATCTCTCATCCTGAACATGCACTACTTTCGTGTTGGTCTTCTCACCCCTACATATTCACACACCTCCCAACAATGGGCTGACCTCTTCACAAAACCTTTGGGTCATGAATTGTTCATCTTCTTTAGATCCAAGTTGGGCATCACAGATCTTCATGCTCCAACTTGAGGGTGAGTATTGTTTGTTACCAGATGAATGGCATAAATTAAGTAAGAATTACACAAATCAAGCTGATGTATATCAAACACTGTGTACAGCTTATTGTGATTACATTTGTTAGGTTTTTAATGTTTTGTAATTGGCGATTCTGCAAACAAAATGACTGAATTGTATTATGTTTAAAAAGTCAATGAGTAATGTGCAAATAGTTGAAAATAGGGTTATTAGTTCTAGCGTTCGAGAATGGAAAAAAGAGGAAAACGGCGAGGATTGTCACTAGATTGTCGCCAAAGTTTGGTTTGAGTTACAAAAGCAGAAACATTGTTGCTAAACTATCGCCCCTACTTCGCTCGAGCGACAGGTTTATTCGAGAAATTTTTATTTCGCATTTTAAAGGCTTTTTACCTGGCTCATTCGTTATTCTAACCTACCTATATATACCAAAACACTTCTGTACAAAAATGGTGAGGTTGAACATTGATAGAGCTATATCTGTGAGAGATTGATTCAATTACTTCTTCCAACCTTCATCTACCTTGATTGTTTTGGTGAGAAAAATATTGTTTCTATAATCCAAATACTAAACTGCATTTTCTCTACATCTGATCAGAGTTCTGAAGATCGAGAAAGTTCAACTGGAGTTCTAGTCTGTGAAGAACGCGGTGTTCTTCGTTGATCCACATGAAATAGACAATTCCACAAGTTTAGGAGTGCTGCACAGTAGTAGATTCCACGGAGAGTTTTGGCAACAGCGGCTAAAGATTGGTGCAGGAGAGCACGGGATCCAGGGAGATGTAGGGAGTACAGTCGAGTGATTGGATAGTACGGGTCTCTAGTCTGATAGACTGTAAATTGTTCAAATCGTTTATAGTGGATTGTTGATTGGCAAAGCACCCGAAGTTTTTTCCAGTTGAATTTCTCTGTGATCATACAGTGTGTTGATTTACTACCTTATTTATTGTTTAGATAATTTGCGATATTCAAACATAGGATTAAACTG